CTGGACTTTTTTTAAAAACACCATCACCAGATACGTGCCACTTTTGTTTTTATTTAACTGAAATGACTGACTAGAGAACGGCAGGCTTTAACATCAGCTGTCATTTTCAGAACTGTTTTTCCAGTACAAATGCATATAAGAGAATGATATATAAAAACTAGCAAACGTTTTAAAGCGATTTCACTGGAAACGGCGCCAGGCCAGGTGCACTGAGCATGCCAGTCACGCAGCAGAGGCACGCTGCGTGAGGTGGGAGCGCGGCTCAGAACCGAGCGGTTGCTGCCACCCACAGAAAGAGACACTGAGCGTGTCTCCAGCTGGAGCTGTGTCATCAGCTCGGAGCTGCCATGAACCGTCATAAGCCAAGTGAGAGGGACGGCTCCAGCTCCTGACAGGGAACCGGCTGTGCACAGCCACGAGATCAGCTCCGGGCTGAGAACCCTCTGCTTCAAAGTCTCTCCGGCACTGGTTTATTTAAAGCCTCTCAGACTGAGTTTTCCCAACATGGGCAGGATTCACCACCCCAGCACAGGCATATCCTAGCAGGACTGACAACAGCTTTTTCCAGCCACGCTGCAGCAACATCCTAACCCGTTTAGAAACTGCTTTCCAAGATGAGTGTACCATCACCCCCCATTACAGGCAGGAAAACAGAGGCCCCGTGCTCAGCCAGAGGACCCCACTCCCAGCACAAAACACCAGCCTGCTCGGCGGCGAAGGAGGGCGGAAAGAAAACCGACAGCCAGTGCAAGAGAGACCCCCGCAAGCTACCTTTGGTCCTGCAGATTTCAATGAGGTTCACCACGTTCTCGTGTTTGAGCAGCTGGAGGATTTTAATCTCTCGCAAGGCTGTGATGGGGAACTGGAAAGGAGAAAGAGAGGACAGGGATTACGAGCGCAGGAGACCAGGCCACCTCTGCCTGGAGAACAGGAGAGATGTGACCGCAGCAGCTTGGCAGGGGACCTGCTCGAGCGGCACCATGACAAGTCACTGAAGGGCAATCAGCGCTTTAAAACAGAACACCAACAACGGGATTGCCAAAATGTATTCACCATCAGGCCACCACTGGCGAGAGAGATTCTGCCACGAGACAGAGGTGTTTGGGTGGTGCCGAGACCAGCACGCAGACACCCCTCCCTCCTCTCCTCACCTCGCACGTTTGTAACAAGACATGGTACAGCCTGGTTCGAGCTGCAGAGCAGCCTCCCCAGCTGCTGCCTGCGCTGTTTTATGCTGCTCCTCTCTCCTCAGTTTGTCCCACCTCTGCACACCCCTGAGCACGTGCCTTTCACACGTTACCCAGTTCCTCCATGAACAACAGCCAGCGTGGAGCCCTGCGCCGGGCGCGATGGGGTTTTGCACAGGAGGAGGAACACGAGGGCAGTGTCACCTCCCAGGCATGGGCAGCGTCGCCTCCCAGCAGCCATCCCACACAGCCCAGTCACCACACACCTACTGCACCACACTGCTGCCACCTGCCTCTGCAGCTGAGAAGGTGATAACAGGACGTACGCTTTGGCAGGGCAACCAGAAGACCCAACGTTATCACAGTACCAGTACGACAGGAAAAAGGCCACAGGGGTGGGATCCTGTCCACACCCTTACATGTTCAAGATCTGGCACGTTATAGCAGTAAATATTGTTAAAGAACAGAGTGCAAACACATCTCTGCCATCCCAAAGATTAGCTTTCACCTATGAACCCCCCAGTCCAGGCCTTCCCAAACACAGTCCAGCCACACTCCCACACTTACACCCTCCTTCTCATTTTCCATCAACACTTTCTTCAGCGCTACTTTCTTGCCCGTCTGACGATGTTTGGCTTTGAAAACTTCCCTGTAAAAACAGAAAGAAATCTGTGAGGAGCACAAGGACAAAGGGAAGGAGCCAGAGGCTCCTGACCAGGGACAAGACCAAACAAGACACACCAGAGCGCCACACAGACAGCTCTGTGCTGAGCCACTAACCGTCCCAGCCACGTTCCCTTTGGACCAAAGGCCCTCAGGACTGGCTGAGCCAACCCAGACCCCAGAGCTCCCACAAGCCCCACGAGGATTTTGGGCAAAATTGCACGTTTTGGGCAAAGTTGTAGGTCCCCCGCCCTGACCGTCTCCAGGGTAACACTCCTCGGCCAGAGCCTGGGACAGAGCGGGGCCTCGGGGTGGGAAAAAGAGGGCTCAGGGGCCAGGCTGGTTCCCTGGGGCCAGAGGGGTGACTGGGGAGAGGACACCCAAGCAAGGGGCACTCAGGCCTGGGGCGGGCGGGCCGCGGGGCTGAGGGGGCCGGGCCCGGGCAGCAGGCCCGAGGGCGGG